CAAAGGATCTGAAACAGCCTCTGCACTGACAGCAGACAGCCCGATGTGGGGCTCGAACTCATGAACCGTGAGATCATGACCTGAGCGGAAGGCAGACACTTAACCAACTGAACCATCCAGGAGCCCCAGGATTTCTTTCTAAACACCAAATAATAGCGGTCTTTAAACTGGCTGGCTCAGTCGGTAGGGCACGCATGCGACTCTTGATCTCAGGGTCGAGAGTTCCAAGCCCCATGTTGGCCATGGAACCAACTTAAAGAAAACAATAAAAATAGGAGCACCTGGGTGGCCCAGTCGGCTGAGCTTCTGACTTTTTGGCTCAGGTCATGATCTCACTGTCGGTGAGTTCGAGCCCCGCGTCGGGCTCTGTGCTGACAGCTCAGAGCCTGGAGCCTGCTTCCAATTCTGTGTCTCCCTCTCTGCCCCCCTGCTCTGTCTCAATAATAAATAAGCATTAAACTAATAATAATAATTAATAATAATAATACTGGCGCCTGGGTTGCTCAGTCAGTTAATCGTCCTACTTTGGCTCAGGTCATGATGTCACAGTTTGTGAGTTCGAGCCCCGCGTGGGGCTCTGTGCTGACAGCTCGGAGCCTGGAGCCTGCTTCGGATTCGGTGTCTCTCTCTCTCTCTCTTTCTCTCTGCCTCTCCCCTGCTTGTGCACACTCTCTCTTTCTCTCTCTCTCAAAAATAAAATAAAAAACATTAAAAAAAATTTGTAATAATAAAAGTTTCTTGTTCTCTTAAAATAATAATAAAGACCTAATGATAGTCCATTGTATGTATATACCACGTTTTGCTTTTCCAGTCAGCTTTCTATGGAAAATTGGGTCGTTCCCACCCTCTTGGCTATTGCGAATAATGCTGCAATGAACAAGGGGTGCAAACATTTTTTCAAGATCCTGCTTTCATTTCTATTAGATAAATACCCAGAAGCGGAATGGCCGGATCCGACGGTAATTTTATGTCTTATTTTTTAAAGGAACCTCTAAACTTTTTCCCATAGGAACCGTGCCATTTTACATTCCCACCAGCAAAGCACAAGAG